AATCCTTCCTCAATCTCTGGAGTGTGTGAGCATTGAGGGCCAACGAGCTCACGCTGCCGTCCTTGGCATCGACCGGTGGCTTAAGGGAATCCCAGTCAACGCCATTTGGAGACCCGACGATGGCCTGTTTGATAACATCTATGACAGCCTTGATAGCAACAGCGACCGTGAGGACCGGATCTTTAGCATCGAACTTGCCAGACAAATCCCAGGTGCCATAGGTCTGTCTGGATGCCGGCTTTTCTGATTCGGGTGTCCTGGGGTTAGATTCCGTAGCCCCTGAAGCTATCTCTTTCTTCTCCTTCCTGTCCTCCTTCTTGTCTCCTTCCTTGGAGCTAGCCTCGCCTTCCAGGGAATCTCAGACCCTTTGATTTCCTTTTTAGAGTCAGAGCGACGGGTGAATGGCTTCTTCAGCTTGGCAATGATCCCCTCGGCCTCAGCTTCGACCTTCTCTTCAGTGTTGGAAGCTTCCTTTCCACCCTTCTTCTTCGCGGCGACTGACTTCTTCTGGTCCTCCTTCTGCTGCTTGGTGGCCTCCTGGCCAATGGACTTGAGGTCCTTTATGGCGCCCGCTGCCGTGCCTATCGGGTTAACGGAAGTCGCTGCTGCGTTGGCGGCGACATTGGTACCAATGCGCAGCGCGTCTCCCGCGGCTTCACCGAGGGCCATCAGAACTTGCTGCCCAACAAGGTCCATTCTTTGTCCATAATGTTAGACTGAGATTACCATTGCCTATGGTGAAAAGATAAGACTTACCCAGTTGGCATCTTATCTAGGGTTGACTTAAAGGCCTTCTGTGCATCCTCCATATACTTACCCATCGCGATCATGTGGTCCTTTGCACGTTTCTCTTGTGCCTCCAGTTCCTGCTTCTCCTTCTCGGCCAGCTCTTTCTTGCTCTGAACCTTGGCTTGCTGTGTCTGGATATCGGCCGACTCGCTCTTGCAAGCCGTGTATAGTTCTTCAGCCATGTGTTTGAACTCTCCCATGCTCACTTGTATTTACATCGAGTGCATGCTTCTTGCACGACCCGGCTGCAGTGCTCAGCTCGTCCAAAGACACAAGGACTTCGCTGAATGGAACTGTAGGATCCTTAAGAGAGTTCATAATCATTTTTACCTGCGGTTATTAGTTATGTTGGTCCCTTAGTGAGCTGGCTGCTACGTGTAAAGACGTACGATTTGGGTCACACCTTCAGAATCCTGAATGATAGAGAACATCCTCGTCCGGGCAACCGAGAATGAGTTCTCTGACTGATTAGAGAGGTCGGCGAGAGCTCCTTGCAGATAGTTCTTCCTGTAAAAATAAGTCTTTGTCAGTGATTTCTTGATGATCGAACTCGAATAGTGTTGATCTACCCATCTGGGTGTGTTGTGAGCCGCACGAATCCCGATTTGGGCTGCGAAATCTTGGTCTGCACCGCGAACTTGGTGGCTGCAACGGCATTCAAATTTCCAAGGATCTTGATTGCACATGGCGCTGCGACGAGAAGGACATCCCAATTCTCCTTGAAGAACTCGGAGCACTTGATGTCCTGGACAATGGAGACAGCCGTCGCCTTACGCTTCTGCTCTTCAGCGGCCAGCGCTGCGAGGCCCTTCTCTTGTGTGACGGTAAGAGCTTGTGAGCCCATGATTTACAGACTGGTAAAGATGAGATGTTAAAGAGGGCTTTGCTTTCTCAGAAGCGCAATCGATGGTCGGGTGTAAGTGAGGAAATTGGTAATATGTATTGATGAACATGCCATCTCGCCCATATATATAGTGCTTTTGGTGAGATCATCTCTCCTAGTTCGCTACGAGTATGAGCTTCGCCTTGGCCTTCGGTCTAGCCGTTACCTAGCTGACCATTATCGGCTTGAGCATCAATTGCCTGGACCCAACTATTTAGACAGCCATGGTCGGTCGAGACTATCATTTCACCAAGAAAGCGAAATCTAGACCACCTGCTGTTAGTTGACAATGGCCTGAATTGATTCTTAGATCCCTGTTTACCCCTGCGTTTGCCTTTCGAGATCTTGTAACCGGCGCGCCGTACCGGTGCCTGCCGCAGCCGTCATCATTTGAAGCTCAACGCCAAAACACAGCCTCCGGACGATTAGCTCCCTCCAAGCGCCCAGTTGGGGATTCTAAATGATGTATATGTGCGGCTGACCGGCACCGTGCGACCAAAAGCCCCCTTCTCGACGCGACCGACCACGTGCGTTACCCGAACCGGAAGGGTCTATATAGGTCTATAATGACTTTAACTCTCAGCCAGCCACTGCATGATTTATCCATCGAATTCTTCTAAATCGAATCATGCCTATGGTGTATGATTGATCTGGACGAAGTCTGGAGTCGTCCTGAGTAACTTGAGCAGCTTCAAAGTTGGCGATTTCCAATGGTGAGGTCTACCTGCCGAGGGTATCCTCGCGTATAAAAGATAGTCAAGTTGTCAAAAGAGTCATAGTCGAAGTCCAAAAACACAACTCGAGATCAACCTTGTACTGGCTTCGTCTAATTTAGCTCTTTTTTCATCAGTTCATCATTCATGGGATTCTATTCATCTTCTATCACATCTTGTCTATCATGCATTCTCATATCATCCACCTTAGATTCTTCATTCTATAGCCACTTACACTTGCGTCAACATTTTCGCGACGAGCTCCACTTCTCAGGCCATCATACCAGCCGACGAGGTCATGGAGACCTTTGAAAAAGCCCAACGTGATCTTCCCGGTCTCGAGAAATCCTGGGCGGAGGGCATGAAAAAGCCAGACCTTCATTTCGAAGAACCTCTTAACGATATACGCTCTCTCATTACCTTCATGTCTCTGATCCACCGCGGCGATGAAGTCAATATAGCTGATTGGATTGACAAGCACAAGAAATAGTTCCTTCAAGGTGCTTCCAGTTTGTCTCAGACCGAGATGCTTGCAGCCGCTTCGTCGGTGGTCACTGCCAAGCTCTCCGTACAAACAACTAAAATGGCCGAGGCGATAAAAAATCTGGACAAGGTCACCACCAATGCCAGGAACGAGCAAGCGCACTACATCGCTATCAAGAGCGCCTTGATCGCCTACAAGACACACTCAGAAACAGGGGAGCAAGAGCAATAGAAGCTCGTTAGGGAGCAAGAGACCATAGTCAAGAAGTTTCAGAGCCATGTCGACGATGCGCAGAGAGATCTTGAAAACGCCAATAGAGAGCTTGAAGATGCAAAGGCTAAGGACGAGTCCATGAGTCGAATCGAGGAGGATATGGCGTCCGGCAACTCCGTATTCGATGACGACCTTGACTCGTACGGAGCCCAGCTGGGAGCCCAGCTGACCATGCACTTCTCCGTCGAGAGATTAGACCAGCAGGTTAAGGAGAAGCAAGCTAGCTTTGATACTCTCAAGAAACAGCTAGATGATGCTAAGCGAGAATGGGCAAACGCCAACACTGAGCTGACTACGCGGCGCAAGCACGTGTCGACCGTGTACGCTTATGTAGACAAGGCATCCAAAGCTATAACCTTGTGCGATACGTCGGTCGCCGAGAGTGGCAAGGCGTTGAATGAGCTCAAGGTGCTTCACGATCCATGGAAGTCGCTTGAAGATGCCGCGGTCAACCTTACGACGTGGGCGCAGGTGCTCAAGAAGGCGAGTGGCTTCGCCGAGAGGCTAGTTCTCGAACTCCGGGTACTGCAGATGGTGAACCAAGCCGTGGCCATGCAGGACGAGGAGGGGGTGCGCATCGCTTGCTCGTATATCTTGGAAGATATTGTGACTCGTAACCAATGGGCGCAGCAGGGCGTGGTATCGAAGACCAAAGCCGAGGAGTCCGTTCTTGTACTGTTTACCGAGATCAAAGATAGACTGGGCTTGGGTGAGGAGGGAAAGAAATCGTTGGTGCCTCTATTGGAGTCCAAGTTTCCAGGTTCAGACACTTTAATTGATTGGGACTAAACTCTGATATACCGGAGGGAGTCCTGTAGACTCGCGTCCACCAAGCACTCAGGCCTTCAAGATAGGCATAATCTACAATTCTTGAAGCCTTCGGGCAGTTAGCTTGTTTAATTAAGTTGGGAATGAAGGCTCAAAGAGAATACGATTCAATTCAATAAAGTAAAATATATTCGAGTGCTATAGTTCTTCCTTTTTCTGTTCCTTGTGCTAGTTACCCCTTTTTATCTCCGCGTGTGAGTCAGCTCAGCCACTTAGTGGCTGCATCTCCCCCTTAACCAGCCTCATCTACACCGTTTACACCAATTCGGTACGAACACAAATACCTTATTCTCAGCACATAGTCACAGGCCTTCTACGTGACGACACAATAAAGAAGAAATCTAGCGTTAACGTTAGAATAAGTGAAATAAAGTCTAACAGTATTATGCCCCCCATGCTTCCTGAGAACTGAACCGAGGAAGTACTCTACGAAGTGTACATGTGTAATTAATGTGCCTTAATTAGATAGGGGTTCGAGGACTGAGAGATATAGATACGATCAGGCCTATTCCGAGTAGAGTCCGGTTCCACGTCGCTGTGATACATATAACAAGTATTATCTCGTTAATTTCTTATCAGTGATATGCTTGGTAGCTCGTTGTGTGTAAGGTCTGTTCGCGACGTCATACACCGGCGAAGATGTTTATGCACCCCCGATCTCTGTAAGAATAGAGCTGTCTGTAAGAATAGAGCTGTCAGTAAGAGAGTCGACACAACAGCCAGTCTTGATTCTAGAGTTACAACTGCGCCGCGTTATTGGTGGTGGCTGACCTCAGTCCTTGCAGGCACACATAATACACATGGAATGCTTCCTTTTAATTAATGAGACTAGAAACACCGCGCTGCTTAATAACTCGTTGAGGGCTAAGAAAGAGTTGTATCAGTAGTTGAGAGAGAGACTGTAGCGGACATGGGACAGAATTAGGCCGCAAAGGATCTAAGTTATAAGGGCTATTATTTGGAATTCTAAGCACGACCGGCAAAAACTTTGCGGGACCTGTATTGCAGCTCCGCTCTAGTGCTTGTAACCGGACCCGTGACGCAGTGGTTAGCGTGTTGCTCTTATACTTGCTCCACTCTGTGTAGCTTGTGTGATAGGAAATGCAAAGGTCGTGAGTTCGATCCTCACCTGGTCCACCATTTTTATTTTTATTTTTTTATTTTTATCCTTTTAATCTTATATAATTTTAACACTTGTTTTATCTTTTTAAACCATTGATTATATATATATATATATATATATATAACTAATTTTCCTTTTTTATTTACCTTATAAAAGTTTATTAAATATTAATTAAGTGTTTATATATAAGATGTTAAACAATATGTTTATTGTATTATATGTACACCGTGATATCTATTAATCGGTAAGTTTAGTAACCCAAGCTTGCAAATCACCAGCCAACTTCCCCACAAGGTCAACATCTACAATGCCATCCTGCCAGCTGGTAGTTACATGAATGCCATGTCCAGCAACACCAGCAACGTTAACGTTGATGGCGGCGGAAACAGCATGTCCTTGCGTGAAGACGGCGTGGTCAATGAACCACGGCCCTCCGTTTTCCGGCCCGGACATCCCCGCATCAGCTGCACTGAGGCTCCCCAGATTCGAGAGCTCCCAGGTGCCATCCCTGGGCTTTCCGAACTTTTTGCGAAAGAATTCGTGCCAGTCGCCGATAAGACCGGACAGGGCTAGGATGTCATCGCGCGGTAGTGAAGAGGCCTCTATGGAATGCAGGTGTTAGAAATCATTGCTTGCGTAGGAATCTGACTTATCCTTGAAGGCTGCGGGGGATACAGGGAGAAAATCAGTATCAAAAAGGGCAATGAGAAACTTAGGAATACTTACTGGCGCGCAAACGAGCCGTCATGTCCTGCGCGAACGTCCAGACTGCCACGTCCTCGTCTACTGGGACCTCTTTCTCGTCTTGGTTCCGCTGCAGTCGCCGAATAGCGTCAAGATCATGATCAGATAAAAGCCCTGCGACAAGACAGTGGATAGTCTTGCCGGGTGTGAACACCGAGCCAGCAACATTCGGATCTGCATACCCCGCGAGCGAAATGGGCGTCATGGAGCGGAATGATCTGTCCTTCACATGGCGCGCGAGTGAGCGTGCGATTAACGCGTGCAGCAATCCTGTTAAACTGGATTTGTGATTTCGACACTGCGCTAGTATTCCCTTCAGCTGCGCCTCGTCGTCTATCTTGAACAACGTCTGCACATGTATCTTAGGATTCGAACCATCGATTGGCGCTCCGGTCCACGGGATGTTGGCCTCGTTTGGTTCCAGACCTAACAGACACCTGAGGGACACAGGTATTGGGAGAGCATTCAGGATTTGTGAACAGACCATGCGGAGGATGAAACCCCATGACAGCGAAAAGGGGATGAGAGTACCCATGGCGGGCGGGAGAACCGGGGGTGTAGGAAGATGAAGGATATGGTTCTGGAGCTCTGCGGGACGGGCCGCATTATTCAGGGCTCGCTGCAAGTCGCCATGGAAAATGTACCCGCCTCTCCCATCTGCATACGCGTGATGGAAGCAGAAGGATATGTCGAAGGATAACAACACGTCGTCTTCTTGGGTCGCATGGTCTAGACTAGGCGATTGGGAAGATTGAAGAGCACCAAGTTGTCGCGGATCATGGTGCACAACGATCTTCCAGCCGGGCTTGCCGGCGAGGTCTTCCCAAAGTGGCTCGTGGCATTTCTCAAGAGAGCGGAACAAGCGTTCCTCGTACTGCGCTTCTTCCTGTGCCTTTTTGCTTGTATCTTCACTCCTCATTCCGGTCTGGCTATCGGGTCTGGCGGCTGGTATGACGATATCCTTCCACTCGATCATACGACGCATGTCAATCGTTTTGAGATGAACGAAAGCCGGCTCTTTCGTCTCCTCGCCCACGATGCCGACGCGTAGCATCGCTTGCCCGAGGACCACGTGCGCCAGCGCATTCTCGATCGCCTCATGTAAGGAGCCCGACTGCCGCCATACATGGCCAGCTGGTATCCTGTACCGACATGTTACAATCACTGCGCGTAGAATACCTAGATTGTGTCGGGTGGTATTGTATTTAGCTCTGTAGGCGACAATGAATTAGTCAATAAGAGCGTGGCGGGTGGGTGGGCTTATGCAGTAGCTTACTGTGGTCCTACGGGCCGGATTATGTTATCGATGGATGTCATCATTTATGTACAGACACAAGAATCGTATAGACAATTTATTGGGATTTGATTCATCTAGCTAACCGTCCTATATAGGGTCATTCATACGAAGCTCTCTTAAAAATGTACATTTCTTGCTGCCTAGCAATTTAGATTATTTCAGGGGGTTGGAGCTAAGCCTATTACGGTGGTGGCTTTGGGGTCTTTGATACTGGGACAGACTTGAACTCTACCACTGTCCTGTGATGGCCCATAATGTAACAATAGAAATATGAAAGATTGATTAAGCTGTCATTTCATGATACTAACTGTATATGATCCTTCGAATCGGGTTGATTGAATTGTTTAGGTAGGTTTTAGATAGTGTTGTTAATGCCTTTGATAGTTGCAAAAAAGTATTTCAAAAAGGGTTTAGCCTGGACTTTGGAGAATCCATGTACACTATTGCCTGACCATCAGGCACAAACTCAATCATTAACTTTTCAACTCCTTTAGAGTACAGAGTAGACTAGTGCTCCGGTTCAAGTTCTCGGCACTATTTCGGCCTGTTTTGGGTATATCTTAAGCACTAGTCCCCCCATGCGTGATACTCATGTGCAACCTAGAATCAATCCCGATCTGTGAAACACTTAATTCCTGAAATTCGCAAACCGAATGTCAAAAGACCCGAGACATCACGCCCCACTCTCAACCATCGGCTTCATTACGGTCTGTGTAAGCACCAGTATAGTCAGTTCTACCCGACTCGCCATTGTATACTAGATGAGGACGTGATTATCAATGGTACGCGACCTTCGGCGGCGGCGGCGGCATCTGCATGCCGGGCATTGCCTGGTAACCTTGCACGTTGGGCCGGGCCTGTTGTCGTATCTTGACCTCGTTGTCCTGCTGGATGAGCGCGCAGCATGAACACCAGAACGACACGCAACAGTCGCCGCACCCGCTGCCTTGGATCCCGTACCGTTCGCGGATGTCGCCGCGCTTCAACATGGCGTAACTGTGTCGCATAAGTTAGTCGGAGCGCTCTACTACGACTAGTGGGTATATAGGGTGATCGAAGTGATGAGGCAGAAGAAAGACGGGAGGAACTTACATCCAGCCGCAGCCTGTGCAAAAACTAACGGCTCCGTGAATAAGACAGTCTGAGTTCAGCAGGTCGGCGGTCTCCATCGACGGGTCGCGGATGCGCTCCGAGGTCCGGCCTAGGAGGATGCACGGTAGACACCAGGCTAGCAGACATGATGAACAAGGTCCGCAGCTACATATTCCCGTCTGCCACTCCCCTGCGCCCTTCTCTAGGTGCCCCTGGTGCTGGTGGTTCTCTGCCATGGGCGCTGGCTGTGCGTAGTAAGGCTGTTGTTGGCCATTCGCCTTCGGATCCTGGCCGTATACTCCTTGCTCTTGGCCGTAATTTTCCGGTGCCGTCATCTTGTATGAGAGGGTAAACACGACTGGTTTTTCTAGGTCGGCCGTGTATAATTGATGGAAGCTGGCGTGTGGTTCTCGGGTAGGAATGATAGGGCTGTTTGTTGCAAGAGATGACTAAGGAACGCAAGACAAACGAGCCGAACAGTGGGGAGAGAGAATATTAGTTGAATGGGTGTATTAAAAGAGACTCGAAGAACAAACACGGGGGGATATGATGATGGTATGAAACGAGTCCTGCGTACATAAATGCAGTACAAAGGGGGCTACGTTCCTTTTCGTACGGGCTGGTGTTCGCTTACCGTTCTGACACTTTCTCAATGCTCGGTGAGACAGCCTCCCTATCGAAATGAAGCGAAATCTATTTCGGTTCCTGATCTATCTTGGCCTACCTCATGATATGCGTCCATCGACCAACAACAGCTTACCTTGCCTGCTAGGTTGGCTGGGCATGTACAGAGTGCTGAGGTAATCTTGAGGAACCCTGAGATTATGGCGATGTTAATACACTATCTTACCACTTCTCGGCCGTACTAGGCGGTGCATGTAACACAACAGGCATAGCATATGCCCAGTTGTCCCGATGTGGAAATGAGATACTACCTACAGTTGGTTTCATTGTCGGTCAATTCGCTAATCGTGTTTTTTCCCCCGGTGAAACAATTCACATTGTTTCACTCAACTAGCCTACCTAGATACCATATATATACTATGTACGACAAACCCCACGATGGGAGCTAGTGTACATTAGGCAAGGCCTACTAGCTCAGCCCTAAAATTGGATCTAGGACTTCAAGCTCGTAGGCAGTTACATGGGTCGCAAAGTAGACTTGAGCTGCATTGTAATGCTTTATAGCTTATAGAATCTCATGGGATTAAATTTGCTGTTTTATATTGGGGTTCATATTCTCATTCGATACGAAAATAGTAATTAGATTTGACTTGTGACGGTATAGTCAATGATATTGTTGGTAAGATGAAGCATGTTGTTAGCCAAGCAGCTGATCCCCAGGAAACAGACTGAATTGAGCTTAGTTCCATTAGTTTAATAATAGGCTGCTCGTGTTCCAACGCGTTTTAAATTCTGATTGCTGTTGGTGGGGGGCCATGAATGCCTTGCTTCGTAGCTCGTCCCATCATATCATCACAGCCTCCCAAGGCCTAGCTATCACAACTATAATTAGCTATAGGCTCCCAATAGCAACTACTTGGGAGAGAATAGTGACAGTCTATCTAAATATGCGCTAACTACCTACATAGTAGCAGAGTGAGTGAGAAAAGGGGTTTAACTTACCTAGGTAATCACCAAGTAACGCATTAGGCTTCAGATCAGAGAAAACGCACAATAATTGTGTATGTTTTAGTCGATTGAATAGAATCGCATTTCCCTTCGCCAGAGGAAACACTCTAATTAGTGAATATCGGTCCCTAGATATCGTCATATTATAAAATTCGACGTATGTAGCCATAATGGCTTAGCACATAAACTAATGAAATATGATCTTGGCCATGTGGACGCACAATAGACGAGCCTAGGTTGAATGTGAGT